ATAAAGATATATATATATATATATATATATATATGTATATATATATATACATATATATATACATATATATATGTATATGTATATATATATACATATATATGTATATATATATATATATATACACACACACACATATATATATGTGTTGTGTGTGTGTGTGTGTGTATACATATTCCCATGGCTGTAGGCTGTCTTTCAAAATTAAGTTATTATAGTCCTATACTCACTACTATCACAGAAAGAACAGTGTTAATAGGAAACAAATACATATGAACAACTTCAAGGCTACCCTGATATCTGGTCACTTCCTAATGTCCATTTCTCAAAGTGCTACGTAAAATAGGGTAGCTATAGTCTTATGTTTGTGGTGGTTGTTGCTGTTGTTCTGAGGTAGTGCAGGAGGTAAAGGTGGAAAGCAGACACGCTCAATACTAAAAGTACCAGGGGATAAAAGTTTCTCTCTGGCTTCTCAGATGGCACAGTGGGACACCATGAACACATGCTTTTTTTTCCTTACCAATACAATTAGCCACTAATTTTTCTCTTGCTGTGGTGTGAACCCCAATGGGTAATGGAAAAAAAACATCTGGATCAAGAATGGTGAGATCGAAGAACAAAATTCTGTAGGTAGTAATCGAAAATGTTGGATTAGCTGAAATCTACATAAGCAAGGCAGATATTCTTTTGCTAAGGTTTTCTGTTCTTTCTTTTACAACAATCAACCAGCAAAAATTTGTTTATTAAGTCAATCAATCCACAAGCATGTAGTAACAGTACACTATGTGGCAAGGCCCCATGCTAAGCATTAAAGATACAAATGCAAAAACATAGCCCCTACCCTTAAGAAACTCACAATAAAATGGTGGAGGCAAAATGCAAATAACTACATACATAGAAGATTTATACAGAGTATATGGATTGTAATCCCAGAGAGAAGGCACTAGGTAGAGACCTGAGGGGTAGGGCATGAAATGCCTCTTGCAGAAGATAGAATTTGATCTGAGTCATGAGGGAAGCCAGGAGGCGGAAGTGAGGAGAGAGGGCACTCCCGGCATGGAAGACAACAAATACTTGTAGTAAGAAGGAGTGTTGAGTGTAAGAAACAAGTAGGCTAGGGCAGTTGGACTGTAGAATGTGTAGAATGGAGGAAAATATAAGAAGCCTTAAAAGACAGGAAGAGATCAGATTGTGAAGGGCTTTAGATGCCAAGAGTATTTAACATTTGGTACTGGAGGCAATATGGAGCTACTGGAACTTGCTGAACAAGGGGGGATGTGTCAGACTTTAGTTAAATCTCTTTGGTGGCAGAAAGGAGGATGGACTGAAGTGGGGAGAAACTTGAGGGAAGGAGGCCACCACAAAGGTTATTGTAATAGCCAAGGTGAGATTTTCTTAAAACCTGTACTAGGGTAGTGACTATGTGACTGGAGAAAAAGGGAAATATTAGGGTGATGATGTAGATGAGAAAAGACAAGGGTTGGCAATGGACTGGATAGGGTGGGGTGAATCTGAATGAGGAGTTGAGGGCAACACTGAAGTTGCAAGCTTGGGTGTTGCCCTGGAGACTAATAGGAAAGTTGGGAAGAGGAAGGATTTTGGGGAAAAGATAATGAGATATGCTTGGGGCATATTCAATTTGAGATGCCTATAGGATATCCAGTTCGAGATGTGGAAAAGGCAGCTGGTGATACAGGAGTTGTGCTCAAGAGAGAGATTATGTCTGGATATAGAGATCTGGAAATCATCTGCATAGAGATGAAAACAGAACCCACAGGAGATAATGAATTCATGAAGTGAGATAGTATTGAGGGAAGAATATGCCAGGTGCTTGATATACAAATACAAAAAAGAAACAAAAAAATCTGTACTCTCAAGGACAAAGGGTGTCCCTATTACTAACCCTCCTCTAAAGGACTTTTATGTATCCATATCTATATCTATATCTACATATAGGCATATAGATATATATTTATACTTTAGCATTTTGATGGATCTATAATTTCATCTGAGTGGATACTCCCTACCTCAACGAAGATCACACTATCTCAACCAATGGGATTCTTGTTCGGGTTTTCCTACAGATGATCTACCCAATGCAGCAGAGGCCTCCTTCTTGTTCTTTTAGTATCACAGGTACAAACGTACCATATCTAGGCTATCTAGGCTATTTATCTACTTAGTCTCATTTTTATTATATAATCCTATGCCAGTTATACATTTCCTTGATGTTGAGTCAGTATGGTGTAGTGGAAAGAACATCTGGAATCAGAACACTTGCGCTGTAATACTGGCTCTGCTACTTTTGTTTTATGCTTATGATCTTGGGAAGGAATCAATCGATATTTATTAAGCAACTACTATGTGCAAGGCACTGTGCTAAGTCCTGGAGATATAAAAAGAGGCAAATGATAGTCCCTGACCTCAAGGAGCTTACAATCTAATGGGAAGACAACATGCAAACAAATACACACAGAGAAATAGGAAATAATTAAAAGAGGGAAGGTACTAGAATGAAGAGAGATTGGGACAAGCTTCCTGTAAAAGATGGAATTTTAGCTGGGATTTAGAAGAAGCCAGGGAAGTCAGTAGGCAGTTGAGAACAGAGAGCATTCTAGGCATGGCAGACCTCAGTTTCCTCTTCAATAAAATGAGGGTATTATACTGGATTACCTTTAAGGTTTCTATGATTAAAGCATAGATTTGAAGCTGGACAGGATGTCTGAAGATATCTAGTCCTACTCTTCATTTCACAAGTGAGGAAACTGAGGTTAAAGAAGGTAAGCAACCTGCTCAAGGGCATACAGGTGGCGTCAGAGCCCAGATCCTCTAACTCTAAGTCCAGTCCTCTTTCCACTGTATCAGAGACTATGACCCATGCTTTCACATCATGTCTTATGTACAAGTTATCCTTGGCAACAGAGCACAATCTAGATGTCCTGAATGCAAATGTCATCATGTTTGGATTATTTGTAATCTGAATTCTTGTGAGACTGTGTCGTTCAATGATCTACAGTCCTAAACCATCAAAGGGAAAATGCTAGCTTTAAAAAGATTGACTTTTTCAGCAGCATTCTCTACTGGGTTCACAATCTCTCAACATTATCCATTCCTGCTTGAGAGGCAGATATTGTGGTGTGGCAGACATCAAGAGGACCTTTAAGCCCGAAAGACCTAATTTCAAGTCCTATCTCTAACACCTACAGGCTCCATGATCTTGGTTAAATCACTTAAATTCCCAGTAACTGTACACAACTTACTAAAATTTTAAATTGTGGAGAAGGTGCCAATCTGCTTTGGCAGAGGGAGTTTCTTTACCTGCATCCCTTTACCAGTGAAATCACAGGTTCAGTCCTTATCTCTACCCAGGCCTCTCTCCTTCTCCTTAATTCCAGGCATCAGAAATGACTACCTGTCTTTTCATTAGCTATCTGCCTTAATGAGACAACTGTCCAGACGCATATCATGATCTGGGTAACGTATTTTTCATCCACTTTCTTATTTTTTTTTTAAAGCAAATATGGCTTGACAGATCTGCTGCTTTGCTATAAATTTCAGCAAGGAGTCTTGAGACTTGATGTAAGCAGTGCAATGTCATCTGAGGACAAGAGGATTTGGAGCACCTCATCATCCACAGGAGAACTATCTTTGTTTGGACTTTGTGCAGGATCCATTTCATGACACTGCTGAACAACCCTGGCGAAAACATCTCTCTGTAAAACACTTCATTTTATAAAATCATAAAGGCTTTGACAGCTTAGTACAAGCTTTGGCAGGTTCTACCAATCTTGAAAACAGACCGTCATCCAAGGATCAGCTTATTTAAATTCAGAGAAGCTCACCACCAGAAGGCTGACCACCACATGGTAAAATGTTCTTGACCACAGCAACAAGGCACAGAATAAAGAATGCTGGATATGGAATCAGAGAACCTGGGTTCAAATCCTCATTCTGTTAGCTACTATCCACGTGTCCATGACCAAGTCACTTAACCTTTGCAGTCCTCAGTTTCCATCTCTGTAAAATGGAGGAGTTGGACCAGATGGCTCTGAAAGCCTCTTCTATATTTAAATCTGTAATCCTACGAAGATCATCTCCTAAAGCAGACAATATGCAGGGAATACTCATGGCAATAAAACCATGTCTTGTGGAAGAACGGAAATATTAGAATTTACATCTAGATCAATTATCATTTATAAGGGCAAGTGGGTTTATAGTCATTTAGAAATACATTGCCAGCTCTTGCTTTAACCAACCAAAATATAAAATTTAAAAACATTAGTATGCAATATTAACATAACACAATTAGAGCAAGCAACATTATACATTTCTGGATTTTTTTTTTCAGCTGCCATAAAGAATTCTTCAATGATTTTAAGCCACAGAATCTAATGATGTCTTAGATAAGGGGAAAAGATCTTGTGTACCTCAGTTGTTGGTACAACAAAGTAGTTAGTGGGAGCATTAGGGGATGATATTTAAGGGCCTTTCCAGCTCCAAAATACTATGATTTCTATCCTCCCCCTTCCACCTCCATCTCTTTTTCTTTCAGAATGCCTCGGAGCTCACTCAGGGTCCTAGTTTGTTTTAAAATAACTCAATGAGTTGACAGACGGAGCTCCTGGAATTCTGCAGCCTGTGCTAGAGTCTACAGATGGGAAATTGCAGTCAGTTAAAGGGTGGTGCTATTACCATAGCACAATTTTTGAAAGCCTTTGGAAAAAAAAACTGAATTAATTAGCATTCACCACAGGTACTAGCCTTGTGTTGCAGTACTCCGGGACTTAGATAATAAGAGAATGCAGAATTATAATTTTCTGACTTTTAAATGACAATGTTTCAATTCATTAAAAATCTAGGTTTCTATGAAGAAGAAATTGTACCTGCTCCTTGACAATGCTCTCATACAATGAAATGACAGTGTTTTAAGCCATCATGAAACATATATTGAAATAAGTCAAACACTACTAGCATCACTCTATATAGAATTAATTTTAGGTTACCTCTCTGATCTGCTTAATCCACATTTCTCTTCCAAGAAACTCCTGATGTAAGACTACAGGAGCTGAATTTAAATTAAATGCTATGGAGCCACCACACTTCCCTCTAATAAAAGGCTGGAGGTCAGAGTTTATCTGGAGAGAATGGACAAAAAGAGTTATGTTAGAACACTGTAACCTGAAACAGTTATAACTAGTGCATTTTAGTCATGACAGGAGACATTAATGTAACTGAAAAAAGATTAAAGAAAGGACTTTTTAGATGAAAATGCTGTGTAGATGAATGTTTTTAAATATACTAACCTTCAAATTCATCTGAAGCTATTTTTTCCCTCTTTATAACTCCCCTCTAGCTTTTATTTATTTTTAAAATTAGAAGCAAGGATTTGGTAAACATGCTTTCTTGATAAAATTCTATGTATTTTATAAATATTCTCCTCAAATCTGTTTGGTTTTATTGCAAGAGAAAACAGTCACCCCCACCCCCCATGAAAACTATTTTCTCCAGTGAAATGCTTGAGTAGCATCTGTGAGATATATACTATTAAATATATTTGGAAATTACAGATATAAAAAAATGAACCTTGCAATTGCTAATTTCAGGGTGTTTGCTTTATTTTGCACATTAAAAAGCAGCAATCAGAACTAAAGAGTTTTCATTTTTCTCAAAATACCACTAAGCTTTCATTAACTTCCCTCAATTTCTAATTTTCAAGCAGCCATAAAGGAATAATAACAAAAACTTCCATCTTCTTGTGAATGTCCTTCCAATTTTGTGAATGGCAGCATTACTCATTATTTCATAATTTCCAGTAGTTCTGTCAGGAGCCACTTAAGGTAGTAGGAAAAGAAAGACATTCCAAATACAGTGTAAATAAACGGTGTTATTTTTTTTTTATGAAAAGTACATCCTATCATGCTATACTGTCGTATTATATAACAGATAATGATTAAATGATGGATAAATCTTAAGTACATGCTTAACATTTTTGAGACCTAAAAGGTCATTAAGTACTAAAAGGTTTCCCATATGTCATTTTAGTTATTTAAACACTGGATAAAGAGAAAGGGTGTGCCAATACCTTATGACTCATAGACATGTGCTTTCCATACTGAAATGCCATATCCTGGACCTCAGTATCATGCTTTGCTAATTCCATTGCAGCTTGGCAGCTTTTTGCTAGCAAGGCACTATGGGAGAGGAAAATCTGCTCCTTCCAAGTCGATATTCCGATATCATCTGTGATACAGTTTTCCTGAAAATGCAACAAAAGCCAAGATGAAAAAGCTTTAAAAATGTTTTTTTTAAGTGGCTCAACTGTTTCAGTTCTTGAAGAATGATAGGACTAGGTAACAAACATATGAACTATTTCTCACTTGCAAGTGATAAAAGGAAAAATGCCAAGACTTGACCTCAAATGAACCAGTCATTGCTTTTAAAACAATGGAGAAGGTAGAAACTAAAGGAGATGTTGTGGTGAATGTCAGTTTAAGAGCCAGAGAACAGATAGCTTTAAATGGATAACCCAGAACAAACTGAGGTGAAATGAAGCAACATGGGGCTCAGAACCAACCTCCTTGTAGACAGAGCTCTGTTACATCCCCAAATCAACACACAGTCTCGTGTGAGACTGCAACTACCATGAAAGACAAAAGGACAACAGAACGATGAAAAAAAATCCTCTGGTCCCTCAGTATACGAAGCACAGATTATTTCACAAAAATACACTACTGCCTGTTACTATGTGAAGACATAGTAAAGAGGGTGAATATATAAGGGGTGATGTGTGCTTTCGGGTAATCTATGCATACCTGATTTCATCTTTAAACTATAAAAACCATAAAGTTCAGCATAAAGCAAACTGAAAAAGGTCCATTATTTGAAGTTCAATCCTATACCACAAACTCACTTTAAAACCCTGACCAACCAGAACCCTCAATAATTATTATTTAGAAAAAAAATACTCACTTCCACTTTGAAGAGGAGAAAATAAGAAAATAAGTTTATACCAGGGATGCAACCCACTTCCCTTTAAAAAAAAAAGTCCTTTCTGGGAGGAATAGAAAGATTACTGGATTTAGAGTCACAAAGACCTGGGTTCAAGAGCTCATCCTATCACTTATGGGGTCTGTGTTTTAGGCAAAGCACTTAAATGTCTGTGAGCCTCAGTTTCCTCAGCTATAAAATATGGAAATCAGACGAGAGGATGTCTAAGGTCACTTGTAGCTCTAACATTCTGAGGCTATGATTTTATATTCTGTGCCTTAGCACATAATTCAGTTCAATCTTTTACAAAGGCTACAGAACTGTTAATTTAGGGTTGAGATCTGGTGGTCAATTCAGTTAATCTTTCCTATCCCTATAATAACAAAGTTGCATTATGAGTATTATTTTTGGTATGACCATACTAATAATCTATATTCATACAGTGCTTCAGCATTTAAAAAGAGCTTTCTACACATAATTCCTGAGAGGTAGGTAGTGCAAATATCATCCCCTTTTAACAGATGAGGAAATTGTGTCTTTGACAGATAAAGTGACTTATTGGTGGTGGAGGTGGAACTCAAATAGGAACTTCTGTTTTCACCACTACTCTAAGGGGGATGTTGTTCTATAAAAGTCAGTCTTTTGCTTTGTAAAATGAGATGAAACACTCTCTATTGCTCAGAGCAGAAAGTCAGCATATTTCTCCATTGAACATGAGGGGGAGAGAGAGGATTTCAATAAACTCATGATTACAAACATTTTTAAGAAAAACTTCAAGCCATGCTTATCTCCTGTGTAATATATAGGTTTAAAAAAAAAACCAGTAGCAAATAGTAATGAGTTGTCTTTACTGCCCCCTTTGTTTTTTGTCTTTACTTCTCAGTCTGTATCTCACTTTTCCTCCCTCTATTCTTTTTCCTTTTTCTTCATCTCCTGCCTTTGTGGCAATCATAGAGAACTGAAGTCCATTTGAAAATTATTACTTGTTTCCTTTATTAGGAGCTTTATGTTCTTTGTTGTCAATTTTAAAAACAGCTAAGTAGGTTTTGCTTAAAAAAATTCTACTAAATAGTTTTTGGCTTCATAGTACTCACTTCATTTTTCTGTGGGTCATCCACTCTCTACAGAAAAAAGGATTCCCCAGACCTAAGGCTTTCTAAAATGACAGTACAGTATAATTTGAATTCATGTTTAGAAAAATGAACCTCAGACATTCTAAGATTTTTAATTAGTAAAGAGTACACATTCAGCATATGGAATTTGCCAAATCAGGAGACTATTACACTTGAGAAACTTTTAAAAATAAAGGGTTTAAACATTTTCCAGAAATCCTCATTTAGTTTGAAATTTCAAAACTAGAAGCTAACCATTGCCTGGTTTATTGAAGTATTGTGGTACATGTACGAATAAGATCTAAATAAACACTATCACTTTCTAAAGCTATTATCTGTAAGGAAATTGGTAACAAACGAAATTTAATCCCTCCATTAATCTCTAATCTGTCTGTCATGTGTACATGCTAAAGTGTGCTAGGTTACAGGGCAAAAGAGAATATGTGACTAATGGGAAATATATCAGAATTCTGAAATGCAAAGAAAATGATGTGATGAGCATTACATCGAAATTCATTGTTTACTGACACTCCATTATACACCGTAGGCAGGAAGGTGATGGAAGCAAATATAATCTGGGTTTTATACATATCTTATAATATTGCATTAGATTTCTGTGCCATTTTACTAATATTTATTCTAGACTTGCTTTACAGAATACATGAAAAGATCACTAACAGCATTTATATTCAATGGAATTTCTGATTTTCAGAAAGTAACTATGTATACCTACATACATTTTTTGCTCTAAATTAAATTCAATTATTTCAATGAACAAAAATCTATTTTCTCTTTTTCCTACCCTCCCTTTCTTTTAAAACCAGTTCTGGAAGAACAGAAACACATATCAGCTAAGATTACGGTTTTCTAGAACACAATCAAGGGCGGGGTTCAGAAGAGTATCATCGAACAATTTAGGTAGCAAGAAAATTCCAACCATGGAAACCACTGGATTGTTCTCTTGTTCACATTTATTATACACTGGGATCAAGCAATAGATGAGAGGCATACAATGACCCAGCAAATAGGGAAATGGATTAAGGATCTTGAGATTTAAGGTCTCTACCAGTGAACTGCTTTATAACTTTTTAGAAAGTCACTGACCTTATGCTCACACAGTTGCAAACCAGATAAAAGAACCAAAATTCAGAATGGCAGAACCATGTCTGAGGCACAAGAAGAAAGAAAAGAAGATTTTATGATGTGAATGGAAAATGGAACTTAGGTGAAAAGAGGTTGGAGACATGAATTTAAAACAACCATCAAACGACAGACCCATTTCACAGGGACATAATAAGTCCGTGGCAGAGGTTATCTCAGAAGCCACCACCTTGAAAGATGGATAGGATGAAGAAATATACAAACACATATTTGTCACCTTATAATACACAATTGTTAATAAAGAAGCTAATGGTGAAACTTTGAGCCTTTTCTTCCTTAAACCTAATATTGCTCTAATATTTTCTTCACAAATAAATGTTCTAACTTACTAATTGCATATACACTTTGCTAAAAGTAAAATAAGTCCAGACAAAATCATAATATATTCATACTTAATCATTTCATTTTAAAATGAATTTAAATTGTTTAAGACATCTTCCATATTCATGGTGGCTCTATTTTGAATAACCCTTAACAGAGACAAATCTGTGAATAGGCTGGATTATATTCTATAAGCCCCTCCTCATAAGTTATTGAAGTAATAAGGCCAACAAAATTTCTAGAGAGGATTAGGTAGTGTACTGGTGGATCTGGCATTAGGAAGACTTGAGTTTGAATCCTGCTTCAGACACTTACTAACTGTAACATGCTGGGCAAATCCCTTAACCTCTCTCTACCTCAACTTCCCTATCTCCTAAACGAGGGGTTTGATTCAATGGCTTCTAAGATTCCTTCCAGATCTAAATCTATGAACCCATGAGCTGGAAGAATCTCTGAGATGGTTGCTTACTTTTATAGTGAGAATATCTTTGAACCCAAATTTTGGTGCATGGCCTAATTAAGGATTTGGGGATAAATTTATGTAAATTTATCCATATAACAGTAAAAGTGTAAACTTTTAATCACAGTTATGCATGTAATGAATCATCTTTATTGAAAAGAATAAAATGAAAGCTACAAAATATATATTACTTGATATTTATGTTATTTTCATTATTCACCTACATTTGAAGTTGATGACATATTGTTTTACTCATAATTCTTGGAAGAACTCGGCCTGTCTAATAATTGTATATTCTTTATTTTTTCAAATATTCTTTGACAAGGCCCTAAGAAAATCATTTGGGTTGCCAAGAGAGATTTCATAGTCTTGATGGGTATCAATGACATGATTATATATGTGCCTTTATGACTTATCACCACCAAAGTCCTTGACACTGTCAAATGGTTCAACCACAGAAACAGATAGGGTTTTATTAATGGAAATGACATTGAAGAAGATGTATTAACATCTGTTTATCACTGTACCTTAAGGACAGTGGTCCTTTCTATCTGACTAAATTCCTACATGTGTTTTCCTCTCCATTAGAATGTAAACTCTTGAGAAAATTGCTTTTCTGTTTGTATCTCAGCACTTAATACACTGTAAACTCTTAATAAATGCTCGTTCATTCACTCATTCGTTCATCGGTAATTAGTCCTTCTGCTCATTGTTTTCTGTTCACTAAGATATAGTAAATTTATATTCTGTGATGTTGCTTGATGCTTACTATGCCCTGCACTTTCTGATTCTCTTATAAAATGACAATGAAATAATAACAGTAATAAATAGCTAGTATTTATGTAGCACCTTAAGACTTGCAAAACATTTAATACTATTATCTCATCTTATACTCACAACCACTATGGGAGGTAGATGCTACTATAATCACCACTTTACAAGTAAGGAAACTGAAGCAGAGGTTAAGTGACTTGGCTAAGTTCACACAGGTAGCATCTGAGTAGGATCTGAACTCGGGTTTTCCTGAATCCAGACTCAGAGCTCCATCCATAGTGCCACCTAGTTTCCTCTGTCCTTTGTTTTAGAAGAAAGCATTTATGACACATTGTATAGAAGTGAGTTACTTGGATAGTTAACATACGTTTGCCTTTTTTCAATTCTCAACCCTTTGCCACTCCTTCCAACACACCTTGTGCCCTATTCTCCTATGCCTAT